TATACACTGCACATTCCACCGGACAATTATAGGTGGCTTTACCAGGTCTTGCAGTCTGCAATGTTTTTTTTCCAATTAAATTCATTTTGAATAATGCAATCCTTAATATCAGATCTTCAAGAAAAGGAGAATTTGATTTTCTAAAGGGCCTTCAAATAATGTTTGAGGGGACAAAGTCTGGGAGACATAGCAGTAAATTGTGTAGCTAGCATGGGGCTAACAAGATGAGCCAAGCAGACCCATAAGGGAACCAGAGGGTTTTTTCATGCACAAATCTAACCCACATTGGCTGGGAAACTGACCTGATCCATTTGGTATAATAATTTTTGTATTTTATAAGTATTTTTCAAGAAATGAAATAGACAAATAGAAATACACAATTGTTATGTCTAGACAAAGACAAAAGATGTAGTTATGATGTATGTGATGATGGCAGTTTTAACGTGAAAATAAAAGCTGCTTGGTCCCTCCTTTTTCCTTTCAATAAATTATTGGCTTAGGAAAAAAAAAAAAGGTAAAATTCAAAGCTTAACTTTGATGAGAATATCTCCCTCTCATGCAAGTGCAACTAATAAAGTAAAAGTTCCCCAAGCGCTCCAAGCTGATATTCTTTGCAACTCTTCACAAGCAAAGCTAATTTGGAAAAAATTTTAACTGCAAAAAGATGAAACACAACTTTAGTAATTTCTTGTGTTGTTGCTGTTCCCTTTTTTTTTTTTCCTCTCTTTTCAGTCATGTTTTCACACAATCAGACTAACCCCCTATCCAATTGCTGTTTTTTTCAACAAATTTGGTAAAACAGACAAAGGTCGGCAGACTTGGGGTGCGTTTGGATCTAAACAAAGCTACAAAGAAAGATGTTTTCTAGTAGTTTGTTCCAATGCTCCATTTTTTCCAAAGATTAGACATACTGAAATGAAGTTCTAGCAATTATTAGTAGCACTGTCTTTTGTTAGAATTTATATTACACTGATTTCATGGCAACTTGCTTGATTGCAAACTTCTCTGAATGATCAAACATGGATTTGACAATGTAAGAAAAATGTTTATATCACTTGAAAATCCAAATTTCATCAGGAATTCTGGTGAATGTTTGCCTTCTCTTTGAGGCCATTAGTTATACTGTTATAAGCTTTCTCCATAAGAAAATCAGATCATAGCTAGGAAAATTCAAGAGTCAAAATTCCATTAAAATTTACTTCAAATTAAACAAATAACACCATTGTGATAAAATGGACCAAAACTAATTATATACCTGCTTAGATTCTGGAATTCTGCCAGATTCTATATCCTCTCTTAACCCAAGGGTACCTACAAACAGAAAACATATATGAATTTCATTGCTAAACCCTGAAAACATTAAGAAAAATGAGTTGACCTGTTGAGATTTTCATGAATGTAATAAAAAGCAGGGTCGTTGACTGTGTATATCCTGAGTTGGGGGGAATGAAGCCTGGTCCGAGATCATTCAGATGAAGTCTAGAACTTCAAATGAATGGTCTCGAACCAGACAGCATTCCCCTCAACTGTTTGAGACGTCAAAGAGAGAAGAAGAGAGAGCGAGAGAGAGAGAGAGAGAGAGAGAGAAAGGAAGGAGGGAGGGAGGAAAGAAAAGAGTGTTAGGGGATGACTGTTTGATATTGATTTGGCCATGCAATGTTCTTTTTTTTTTTTTTTTTCATGGGCCCTTATTACGTGAGGATGAGTATCTCCTTTTGTGGGTCGGATGACGTAGATCCCGCTTTCTACAGCTTCCATATCTATCATGCTTTTGCACACTGATTTTAAGTTTTTCAACTTCCATGTTTTAACTCTTTCTAGGTCGCGTTTGGTTTGAAAGTTGAAAACCACCTCTCATCAGCAAACGAGTATGAAGAACAAATATGGAAAGGTCATTGGTTCTACACAAAGTTATGAAAATACTTGAAAGCTGAGCTCTCACATGATCGTTAGTTTAATGTTTCATTTCTTAGATTCTGGGAAAGAAGGATTCGAAGAACCCAATTCTTTAAGCAGGGAATATATGTCATTAACATTGAATCAAACAATCAGACGCTTTTATTACATTTTCTTTAATATGGTATGATAGTTTTATTTGACTAAACGATAATCTAAAATTGAAGCAAGCAATTTTACATGTAATAATCAAGGATTGAATTATAATTTTGTAAGCAAATATCTTATTTCATCTTACGGTTTTATCTTACGATTTTATTTTATAATAAACATCTCACATATCTGAATTTAAATTTTATATATATATATATATCATAATAATTTTTTAAAATATTTCGATGTGAGATTGAAGTATTACAATATCTTTTATTAAAAGATAAAATCATGAGAATAGATTTCTAGACAATACTTGATAGTGGACACAATCCAATTGTATTGATTTGTTTATCAACAAGAAAATCTTTAATTTGTTAAATTTTAGTACAAGGTAACTGGATGGATCTGTTTTCAATCCAATTTTTCTTTACATTTTGCCCATCTTAGTGAGATCACATGAGATCACATGGATATTGACAAATTTATGAAGAATCCTGCCAAACACACCACGTCCATTAATAGAAAATGAGAAGTCAAAAGAACTGAAAATGATATAAACTTTGGGGGAAGAAATTAAAGCTATTGCTTTTACTGATTAAAAATGGGGTTGAAAATAATAAAAAGAAAAGATTTGTGAAATGTTAAGGTCAAAGCAATAGCTTGTTTTAGCATCAGACAAAAGACTAGCAAAAGCTCTCTTCTACCTGTCAATCCTATCCCTCCCAAATCAACTATAAAATTCTCATAAATTTAAGGGTACACGCGTCATAACGAATGCCATTTGATGGAACAATGTAAACCAAGAATCATCAAATGAATGAATGATCATTGCTTGAAGAAATTGATGTTATAATGATTAGGATTACTTTTGACAGTGAGCTGAAAACTGAAGAAAATGAATCATGATCTTCACAAAGGGTGTTTATAGGACGTCTCATTTGCTTCCTACTTGAGGAAAAAGGGAAGATTGGAGGCGGGAGAACTGAGAAGCTTCATCAACGAGGGCAATGCCACAAACAGTGTGGTTCCAAGCTTAAATGGAATGAAATACAGGTTTTTTGATAATGGCAGACATCATGTGTTTGTCTTTAAAAAAATTAACCCCATGACAATTGTTATACGTTTCATCTCCTGTTAATCGTCTAATTAATGATCACCTCAACTAGTTCAACATTTAACTAATATCAAGTAAATCAATTGATCATGTCAGTACAAACTTAACTAACCATGTCAGAACCAATCTATTATAAAAGGTTAGTACAAGTTCAATTGATCACATTAGCACTATTTTATTATAAAAGATAAGGTTTATATATATATCATTCTGGATCATCTGATTAATATATGAATAATTTAATCAACAATCACTTCGATTAGTTCAACATTTAATTAATATTAGATATATCAATTAACCACATCAATATAAATTCAACTGATCACGTCGACACCAATCTATTATAAACGATCAATACAAACTTAATTAATCATATCTCCACCAATTAATTATAAGACTTATATATATCATTATGAATCATTCAATCAATTAACGATCATCTCAATTAATTTAACATTTAATTAATATCAAATAATCCAATTATCATATCAATATAAATCAAATTGACCACGTCAGCATCAATTCATTATAAAAAATCAATACAAACCCATGTGACCACGTCAGCACCAATTCATTACAAAAAGTAAGGTCTAAACACATATCATTTTGAACCATTTACTCACTTTCCCTTTCTCTTGCATACTTCACTATCTTTTTCTCTTTTATCTTCCCTCACCTACTATATTTTATTGACTTGAATGTTAAAACGCGCGTCCCGAAATCATACCTCTCTCGTCCCCGAACTGTTTCTTCTCTTATAGGTCATTCCAGCCTCAAGTCGGCCAACTTAGCAACCTTCCGTCAAGCATCTAGTCACCGATTCCAGAATACCATCAACAACAAGAGTTTTAGATATCTGAATATGACAATAAACTCAGAAAGATAAAGTATTTCGTTTGGTAACCCACATTCATTTCTATCTTCTATTTGTAATACAATTGTAGCTTATTAATTCTTTTTCCTTATAATGGAAGGTAAGGCATATTCTTTGACATTTATGTTTGAATTAAAAGCCAACCCTTTGCTTATTCTGAAGTGTTTTTGGGGCACTTTAGAAGTTATGGATTTCTTAAACATTCTCACAATTTTGGTGTTTGAAACTTGCAAAACCCAGCAACTAGGATCGTAGATATAAGCATCTTCTGTACAAGGAAAAGCTAGTCAGAAATAGCCAAAAAAAACTTTAGATTAGCGGTTTAGAAAATCCAAGGGCTCAAAGTTTGAGCAAATTTTAAAGCCAGAATCCTTTTTTACTAGGAAAATTATTAACACAAATGACGCGTTTTCAGCTCAAAAAGGTGTCTTTTGCTGTTAAAGTCACTAAAAAAATACACACAACACTGCTTTATGCTCCATGGGCATCTTTTTTCTCTTTTTCTTTAAGACCTTTTCAGATGAGGCTTGCCATATCTAAGCAAAACAAGTATTTCCAATGCATAGAAAGCTCAACTTCCACCATAAGAAAGCATCCCTTAACGGACCCTACCTACCTTTATCTTCATTTTTCGTCTCTTAATGGAGGCAACAAGCATAAGTCTTCACACATTACCAAAAAACCTGACAATTTGAGTATACAATCTTCACTGGTTCAAAAGTTTTGATAATGGTTACAACCTCTGCTTTTCTACAATTCTATATCACATAGGAATGGTGAGTCATCCAACCGGTTCAACAGGCAGCAAATGCAAGTCAAGTCCAATGGCAGTTTTGCGTACAAACACTCAGGAAAATATGCAAGAAGACTGTCAGTGTCAGCAAAAGATGGCAGCAAACTAAAAGGATCGTAAGAATGGAGAATTATACAGGAAGTAGTCTGTGCCTCCTTTACTCATGAGCTTAAAACAAAGAGTTGGAAATCCATGGTCAAATTTATTGAATTGTTCAAATAAGTGAAGCGGAGTCTCTTGACTTTGTTAAATATTACAACAAATCAGGGACTTTTTATATGTATGAAAAGATTATAACTTACAGAAATTTACACTTAATAAGAGTGCCAAAAAAGGAACAAGTCTTTGCAACTTAAAGGAAACAAAATACACATTCTTTAGAGCAGTCACAAGAAAACATGAGAATAAATCCTTTCCTCCTTTTAAATTAGAGAACGCACCAGAAACTCAAGACAGGAAATCAATGTCTGAGTCAGTGTGGCCATTTGCCTTTTGTGGAGCTCATTCACTCATCTCTTGCACTTTCATGGATTTATCTTTGAATTTCAAAGGAGCTTGGCCGTTCAGGATATTGTTCTGATTCTTTTTGTTTGCAGAACCAAATGTGATGGCAATAGTGTCTTCTCTTTGACTACCCAAAGAGTGATGATTTCCGTGTTGAGAAGCGCCTTTAACTATCTCTCTTTGACTTGAACTGACTTCATTACTAAGGCTCTTCCTCCGACCTAGCTTTGGAGACTTTGCACGAGTTGGTGGCATCTGGCATCCATACAAATAGCATATCAAATTTTAACCAAACATGCAGAGAAGATGCAAAATAACTTACCAAAAATGAATCAGACACTTATTGTTTCTGATATCTGTTTAATAGTAAATTAGCTGTTTGACCAGGCTCAATGACATTAAAGATTAATAAAAATCTGCACTACTACCTTTTTCAGCTCAACTTTTGGTGGTGGTCCTTCATGGTAGAAGCTTGGCATTGGGCTTGCCTTGAATGTCAAACTCTTTCTGAATTGCTTGATGGCTGCCTCCCTTTCTTCCTTGAAAATTTTTTGAAGTTTTTATCAAGAAAGAAGCAAAGAGGAAATAACAGAATTACCAGTCTTGGGTTATTTTTTAATTATAATTATCTGCCTCAGATGGTAAAACTGAACTGGTAGACATAAGAGAGAGAGAGATGTAGGCAGCATGGTTAGTTTTTGCACCTTAGTTCTGTCTTCAATTTGGGTTTTCTCAGCCTCCAGAGCTTGGTTTTTCTCCTCTAGTTTTGAATAGAACTACAAGAAAACAACAAAGTGAGACAAGGATTTGTGTTTCAGATTTTGAAGATGCAGTTCGGATACTTAAGTCAAGGCAGATGCACAGAGCGTATTTAAGTTGAGGAAATACCTCCTTCCTCTTCTCTGCACGTTCAGAACATCTAAATGTGGGAGCGAACCCAACAGTTTTCTTGTGCTTGGCAGTCTGCGAAGAGACCACAGAGCTTTGTACATAAAGGGACAACATCAGTGATTTGTGGACAGAGAGATGATCTCATGCTTTGCCATTGGCATGCAGTGTCTGTGTCCCGGAACACGGGAATATGGCATGCAATCAAAATGCATTTTTAGAATTTTATAATGATAAAAATTTGCCTTTTACTATGGTTTAGTGCTCATAATTTGACAAGATATTTTGACAATTGAGCAAATTTTCTCACAATTACAAGGGCAACATTTATGGACATTTTAGAAGATAATATCAAGCATTCAAGATACCACCTTTTTAAACAGAGTAAAACCCTATATATCAATTCGAACAGAAGAAGAGAGTATCAAAGATGTATAACAGCAAGCAAGTGTAAAAAAGGCACAATTGAACTTAAAATTCAGGTAGAACAGGGATACGTAGAAGTAACAGAACAAGATTCATCATCATCAGGATGCTTCTTGTTATTAGGTTGCAGTGGCTTCCTCAAGATCAATTGCGGCTGCTGAAAAACATATAGAGACTTCATGAGCAGCTATAAGGGGGAGAAAACAAAGAAACGAAATTTCTAAGCCTGTAGTTGATCAATTCTATGATAAACTTCTGAGTGCTTATTCCTTATTGGAGTTAAAATTTCCATTTCTGAAATTCTAATTAAAAAAAAATGTACAAGCTATTAATTGTGGCACAATGTGATTCCTTCAGGTTTTCATTAGGAGCATTTACCCAGAAATGATGTCAAAATAAATCAACATTCCAGAGAAAGAAAAGTTTGCTACTATTATCAATTAATATAGTTGCTATCAATTTATACAACTTCTAACACATATAAAACTTGATGAAGGCCTGTGCTTTGTACAATCACATTTGCTTAAGTACAACTTATTACTAGCAGTTGCAGGGACTATGGAGTTTAAAGAAAGAGAACAGATGGCCAACAGTGAAGTACAACAACCAACAGAGAAAATCATGATAAGGAAAGTTACCTTATTCTGTTTTGTCGTGTTTGGATGATGTGCACCATTTGTGTTAGAGGATTTGTTCATGCCAGTTCCAGCATCAGGTTCAGCCACTGCAGGACGAGTTACACATGAAGCACGCTTTTCAGTTGCAAGGGCAAATGGCTGTGGAACAGTGCGCTTCATTCGAACATTTGTTGCAGAAAGTTTTGATACATGCTGGGATCCTCTTGATTTATTATTCTTTGTTTTGGCTGTTTCTTGTTTGACCTTATCCTTAGGCAGGCCAGCCTGAAGATTGGAGCTTAACATGCTCTGCTCTTCATTACTGTTCCCAACATGACTTAGTTCAGATTTCTCAACTGAGTTTTCGATAGCACATTCCTTAACGTTGTATTCTTTTGCGTCAGTGCCTTCTTCTGTACCTTGGAGCTCAGGATCCCCATTCACATATGACTGCATGGCATTGTGATGACTGTGAAATGGTTCATTATTTGAATCTTGTGAAACACCATTTAAGTAAACTATTACACAATCTAATTCCTTGTCTGTGCAGATGTCTGTAACTTCTACTCCCATTGAACTGCAGATATTAATTGGAACATCCATATTGCCATCAGTAGCTTCATTTTGATTTTAATTTACATAAAACCATCAACAAGTTTAATCATATTAGTTTGATTGAAATCATGGTATCTCAAAGCAATCAATCAATCATATTAGATGCGGTGGGTACATTTGCTTCTAGAAAGATTTATCTCATTCTAGAGATCCCCCAATTGAAAACTGAACAGAAAGAACAGTATAGATTTTATAGAACCCAGATACAATAGCTATAACATAATTTCTTCAATTGCAATTCACAAGGCACATAAAGAGAATATGAGATATGAATAACAGGATAAAAGAGAAAACATTAAGTCCTGCACTCTGACAGGACTTTTTCAACTATACTTATTCATAAAAACTCCTAAGCACACTCCAATACAACCAATGGCTTCCCCTCTTCCACAAACTAAGCTCAATTACAGCAGGAGTGAAACTAATCACTGAAAAGGAATTAAAGAACTCTTCTGGTGGAAGATGAATAGATAATGGAGTAGTTGCAATTACCAAAGATAATAGAAAATACCTTTTTTTGAAAAAAGAAAATAAAAAATAATGGCTACGCCTGCCTGGAAAGATATCTTCGATTTCTTTAAGAAAAAGAAGCCACAAACAGAATCATTAGCATCTTAAATCATGGAATTATCAAAGGACATAGAAGGAAGTACCTAATTAAGAATAGAAGTGGGATATTAATCAAGAGGAAATGGCTTGCCAAGTCCATAATTATGATAACTGTCCAATTAACCAACTCAATCACACACACACACAAAAAAAAAAAAGAGCAGGTCAAAAGCCATACCACCCCCCCCCCCCCCCAAAAAAAAAAAGGCAAAAAGAATACAGAACTTGGTTTTGACAGGGCAATGGGATGTTCCTATCATTTAAATTTAGAATCAAGGGAAATTCAAAAAATTTCAGAATTGATTCCAAAATCAACATTATTCACCTAAAGACTGTAATACCTAATCATAAATTTTACTAATGAAAAATGATACACCCAAAAAATAGAAAATTTGTGTTTGAACTGATATACCATCTAGTTAAAACACAGATATGCACTCCAAGGCCTCACAATCAGATTAAACAATTCAAAAAAGACTACAAAAAGATAATAATACCAGCAATGGTTACAGACCCTCCATTTGGTTCCTCAAAAATCATGAGAAACAGAATCTGAAATGTAATGTATAATAAAATCTGCTTTCAAAGAACAATCCAAAATCTTTTTTGTACAAAGGAGGCTGCAGCATGGGATACATCAACTGGGTTGGCTACATGAACAAACTAACTTAAGCTCCGCGTACACAATCCAAAATTTCAACTCAACCAAACTCACATTAAAAAAAATTCAATTGTTCTCACATCACAGCTATTAAAATTCAAATCCAACACTAACCCAACATTTGTTAGCTATCAAAAGCAACCAAAACAGGAAAAAAAAACAAACTTTAGGATTTTGTAAATGTTGGTTTTACTTTCATTTCTATACCAAGTACAAAGCAAAGTGCAGACACTAACACCCAAAAAAAAACCAAAAACAACAACAACCATTTTCAAAAAACTAGGAAAGAAATGAAATCCAAGTTCAGATCAAACAAAGAAACAAAAAAGAAAAAAGGGATATCTTGTATTTCAAAGGGTGACATTCAAAGACAAAGATTTGAACTTTAAAACTCACATTTTTCACGTGCATGAAATTCAAGAAGAAGAAGAAGAAGAGACGATAAGTTTTGAAGAGCGGTAAAGGGAGTGAGGGGCAAGCGTGGTAAATTACTTACATTTTTTGGTCCGATCTAATGAACAAATGAAGTCTCTTTGTTTTGCCTTATCGAGCTTTGTCTTCTGTCTTTCTGTGTTATCCGGTAGTCCTGTGCTCTGCTTAGAATGTTTCTGTTACTTCATTGTTTTTTTCTTGATATATATGTAAGCTGGTTCGTCGGTGTTAACGGTGTTGCTTAACGCCGTTATCTGATTTTTTTTTTCTTTGTTTAATAAAAAAAAAAAAAAAAGAAAGAAAAGGATGGATTTGATACTGGAATACTGGAATCCCTTCAAAAGGATACTTCCCTTAATTTTGGCTTTTTATTTTGGCTGCCTTTTTTATTTTTTGGGGTATTAAATCAATACTTTTTTTAATTTAAGTACAAATATTATAATTAATTCATTTAGAAACTTTATTAGCTAGCCTACCTATTTAGATGGGGAGCATATTAATTATAGTATAATTAATTAATTGTAATTTTGAAATACATAAAATTCATCAAAATTTTATATGAAACATGTATTTATAAGTGTAAATTTTTAAATAATTTTTATTATATTAAATAATTATAAGATTAAAAAAAGAAAATGAGATTGGTAAACAATTCATGCCTTTCACAATATGTTGCAAAATATAGTAGTAATTGAATTATTTTTGTCTATATAATTATATGTGTAGTATTTGATTCGTATAATTATTTTAAAAAATATATTTAATAAATTTAAAATTTAAATTTTAATATTCATAATTATTTCTTTTATCTCTAAATTGCACACGTTTTTTCAGTTATAAAATGTAAAACGATACTCTATTTCAAAAATTTCGAGACTTAACAAGAATTGGTTAAGAAAAATGTAAATAAATATAAGATTGGTAGAATATAATTTTATTAAGGTGTGAACAGTTGAGCAATCAATTTTAAGGATCAAATCTAATTAATTTACTAACGCTTATTGATCGTGGTAAGAAACTCGATTTTTTTTTAAATAAAATTTTAATTTTAAATCTTATAAATGAAAAAAATAAACTTAAAAAAACTTATCTCTTCTTATGGGGTCTAATTCGATCTAACTTGATTTTAAATTAATTAAAACTCAAAATAATTATCAGACACCAGACATTAAACAAAAAAAAAATCTAATTAATTTAATTAAATAAGAATGACATACAAAAATGAAAGTTTTCTCGATGTTTAATTACCATGAATGTTCAACTATTTATGAAACCATTGATTGGAATAATAAGCTGAAGGGTTATTCCATTAATTCTATACATATAATTGTAAGGCATCAAATTTGCAAATGTTGGAGAACTTAAAATAGGAAATGCAATTTTTCAAAAAAAAAAAAAAAGTCACTGAAAATATCAAAACCAACAAAAGTGGAGAGAAAAAAGAATATTTATAAAGGAAATAATTCTTTTCAAGTGTAATCAGTTAATCTATGAGTAATTTTTTAACTTTTTTTTTAATATTAATACCGTATTTGAAAAAAAAAATGTAAAAGAAATATAATTATTTTTTTAATCCATTTATGAAATTAAAAATTACATTATCGATTTATATAAAAACAAACACTTTTAGCAAATTAGTTGGAAAGTTTAATAGCTATAAACACAATAGAGTTGTTGGGTTTGTCCAAAAAATGTTCATTATCTTAAACAAAAAGTTATGGAAGAGAAGATGTTCCATCCAAATTAAATAATTGTTGTGAAGATGTTCCCATCTTTGATTATTCCTCCTTAACCCTTTTGATAAAGTTCTAACACCCTCTAATTAATTTGATACTCATCCCTTTGGCATGCAGGTCCCAATTTGACCCAAAACCCTACAAGATTGGTAAATAAGGAGAGCCTTTTGCTTGGGCACCAAAATTTGTTCCATTTCTCTACTTGTTTCAACCCCATCAATATTTATCTTTCATTGCATGAAAATTTTCTCATTTCTTCATGCAAATAAAAAAAAAAAAGAAGGAAAGTTTATGAGATTTTTTTGCAGCCAATCTGCAGACAAATTTGATATGTTTTATGAAAACTTCTTTTGGCTTGACTTGTTATAGAGGTTAGTCAGTTCATATTCAGAAGAAATGACTTGTTCAATCACATGCAAAAATTTGCAATTAAGCTTCAAGTTATGTTGCTAAATTTGTGAGTACAATATGATTTTTCATGTGAACCATTTTTTCTCAAATATGAATGGATTCATAAAGTTAATTAAAGTATATATTTTTTAATTTAAAACAAAAGAAGTTACCCACTTGATATATCCTTATTCTTTTTTTCAAAAATTATCATAATTAGGGATATAAGAAGAGATTACAATTGTTTAAATTTTGAATCTCAAACACGTTAAATTGTTAACTTTTAAGGGTGATTGTATGACTAACTAAATCAAACCCCATACTTTGATATACTCGTATTTTAAGAATTTATACTTGTTTTAAAAATCTTAAAGAATTTATTGATGTTGAGATTTAGAAAATTTTACTTATGTGCCAGAAACATGCAATTTGATATTCAAAAGCATACCCTAAATTTGTGGGGGTTTTTAAATAAGACTATAAAAGAAATGGGAATTTCACATTTGAATTGTTTGTTAACAAACTTTGGGTGTGGAGCATAGTTTTCCATACAACTGGTAGGCTAAAAGCTCTTTTGGTTGTTACATGCAATATTTGATTTCTAGGTATGTTGTTGGTGAAGACTACGGAGGAGACTACTTTGTCATTTCCTTTTACATGATTATGTCTACCAAAATCCCAGGTGGGTTCGTTTATTTGCCGCTTCTGATCCTTACTTGATGCTTACATATTTACACCAATTTTATTTCATATGTAGCCCAACTTCCAATTTTTTGCATTGAAAAGCTTCCTCCATCTACCAAACCTGAAAAACATGTATGAAAATTTTCATTCTCAGCTTAATTAAAATATTAGTTATCATCCAAAACATGTATTTTTTACTCTAACATCAAATTAAGTCATTGATTATAACATTCAAATTATGAAACCGATCTTATTATTTTAGAGAAAATTTAGTTTTGAGTTTTGAAATACGATTTTATAAAACTAGTGATTTTGTATCTTGATTTAAGACGATTATTTATCAAAAAATTGTTTTAAGCTATTTTTTTTTTGAAAAGATAGAATCTGAATCTTACTCTTTGAAAAACAAAAACACAATCATTGAATCAAATCCTCAAATACTTCATTTTAGTCATTGATTTCTAAAATTTTTGGTAGTTCAAAAGAGTACATCAATGTATTATCCATTAAGAGGTTAAGTTTGATATTAAGAGGGGAAATTAGGGGCAATTACATGTAAGTAAAGATAATGGAAGCAGATATGGTGGACAGGGTAAGGGCAAGGGAGAGCATTGGTGAGCTGTGAAGCTATGACTTTAGGTGGAGAGAGGGTGGAAGAATAAAAGAGAAGTGAGTGTAGTAAAAGGAATAGGGTGCCATTTAAGGCATAAAAATAGAGCAATGATAAAGTGGGAGCAAGATACCCCTTTCAATCTTAATTTTCAAGTCAATGATTTTATCATATTTAAGGGTCCTACTACATCCTAGATTTGTACATGCCAACGGCCATGATTGATGAACATCACCTCTATAATCATCCACTCTTTCCCAATTAAATTATTACTTGATTTAGAGGTGGCAATTGGATAATCAAATCGGTCATTCTTCATCGAATCATTTTATGTTTAAAAAAATTCACTTTATTTTAATATATGAGTCATTTTAGATTAAATCATTTTGAATTTGAATTAAATTAGACTTGGGTTAAACAGATTTGGATTATTAACTTTTTTTAATCAAATCAAATTTAATCAAATTTCAAATGAATTTTTGGATTCAATCAATTTTATTAACTCTAGTTCCATCGCATTCTAATGATTTATATATTTTATTCGAAAATTGAATTCAAATCTCTCATTTTATTTTAAAAAATATTATCTCGATTAAAAACTTAAAAAGAGCAAAAGTATAACAAAAGTAAACACAAAATTGTTTCATTTTTTTCCTCAACTATGTAATTAGCACAAAATTAATAAAAAAAATCTTCTTCTTTATAATCTTTTATTCACAATGAAATTTTATTTGAAATCATGAATGACATGAAAATTTAATAAAATCAACTAATCATAATCATGTTTTAAGTGAAATTTTTGCAAATAAAGTGCTTTATTGTAGTTTTTTCCCTTTCTATTTATAAAATGGGTTCAGATTGCACATTTGAATTATTTGAATTTTTTATTGTTCATTACATGAGATGATGCTTAATCATTGGATAAATTCCACTCAAGTCATTGAGTTTCGAATATAATTTAATACAAATTCATTAGTTTAAAAAATGAGCTATTCACCCCAAAGTTTTTAATTTCACAACATAATTAGATTTTTCATGTTAAAAATCACATTTGAACACCATTTTACCTTTAAAAAAATCACTATCGCCAAATACTCATATAAAGTAATATTTAATAATAAAATTTTTTTTCTTAAAATATATCAATTTTATAATAAAAAAATTTAGATATAACATATAAAAACAAAACTTATAATTATAATGCCAATATGTAAATATATGTATAATAAAATAAATATATTAAGCATGTATTATTGTTTTTGACATGTAACAACTGAAAAAAAAGAACATGAATATGAAAAAAAATTGGTTGAAAACAAACAAAAGAAAATAATCACAATTTATTTATCAATTTGGTTTTAGTTATTATAATACTCATAGATATGTTAAAATTAAATTTATATGCTTGTGAAAATATAGTGTTGACAAACTTATTCATTTTAAATTAAAAATTATTTATAATAAGTAAACTCAAATTAAAAAGTTGTAATGTTTAAATGCAAATAATTTTTGTTACTATATGTTCAATAGATATATAAAATAAAGAATAACATTTATAAATTCAATTGCTTGACAAATTGAAATAAGTTGTTCAATTTTTAAACTAATGGATTTATATTGAATTATGCTCAAAATTGAAAACTTAGGTGGAATTTACTCTTAACCCTTTTAATACAAGAGATATCACTGTTGCAATTATCTCATATTATGGATTAACACAGTCAATTAATCTCGACTTAAGTCAATTAACG